TGGAGTCAGCAGTGGTAACTCTGGAAATTTTTATCTGATATTAAAATTTGTTTAATGGTTTGAAGCATGAAGGTGTGATGAATCAATCCAAAACAAAACTAAGAGGACACACTTTTTCCAGCTTTGTATCATCTTCCAACCAAGTCTGCAGACTTTATTAAAGAGGCGTTACACATCTGGCCGCTATATAACCCAGAAACAAAAGGATTTAAAACTTCAAACAGGACAAAAGGGATATCAGCACATATCCTGTAGGTGTAACTGATGCAGCACAGCACACACATTTCACCGTCTCCCTGCCTTATCTCCTCTTACTCCGGCCCTCCTGCAGTAATATCTTCTCAAGTCTCATCTTGTCGTCTCTCTCTGCTTTCTCCTCTTATCTCCATCTCAGCCCAAAGCTGACGGCGAGAGATAAAACCACAAAGACGGCGATAAATGGGACCAAAGTAAACCTTCCCCTGGCCACAGATGCAACACACAGACGACACCTCTTTCTGATCCAACACTGGAAAAAAGGGGGCTGCTCTCCTAATGCGACCTACTTCACGTTATCCCAATTAGGAAATGCATCAGGGACACCATTGTAGTCCTAATTTGGAGCGATTCGGTTTTCTCATACAGTTTAGATCAATGCTTCCTAAACTTTGTAGCACAGAAAATAACAGCAACCGATCCAGATTATGAGTGCTTGCAGTAAACAAGTGCTGCTAAAATCACTTTATGTCAAAACAAACAGTCTCAACAACCATTATACTGCTTATTTATTCATGTTTTTATATCTTTTAACAGTAATGAGAAAAGCATGAGCTTTTTAGCTACGAGAGCAATATTATTATAGTTAACTAAAACGAATGAAATAACTGAAATTAAGAAAACATTAACTGGAACTATATCGTGAGTTTATAAAGCTATCTAACACATAATGATATTATAGATATAATATCCTTTGTTTTCATTTGTATGAATGTAGCTTTTCGAACTGATGTGAAATTTATTTATTTTTCCCCACACAAGCAGTTTACGTCAGCTGTCGGTAAACTACGGTAATCCGTACTCCTTCTGGTGGCGCTTACAGCAGTCCGCAAACTGGTGACAGCAAAAGTTTGGATAAAACACCAGAATCAGTTGTTGTTCAACAATAACTGAATACATTTTTGAAAGTAGTATCTTCTGTTGAATATTCATTACCGAATCAACGTATAAATAATCACAATATTATACTTTGACCTTTTTGAATTCTGTACCTAAATATGAACCAAAGTATGAAAAAAACTATAACTAATACAAAAACAATATTGATCTAATTATAACTAATAAAAACTAGTAAACACACTGTAAAATCTAATTAAAACTAACCGAATTAGACACACAAAAAGTCACAAAGAAATAAAACTAAAACTATTGTAACCCTGGAGCAGAGGTGTCACATTTCCCAAATGATCAACTCAAAAAGACTTGTGGGCCAAAATATATTTTAAAAACATAAATAAAATCACAAAAACAATGTTGTGATTCATTTTACCTGATAAAAACAACAATAAAAACTAAGCATGCAATATTTTATAAAGCAAATAATTTGGTTGGATTTAAATATTGCATTACTACAAAATTTAAAAAAGGATTTTGCACTATGGCCTTATTGGAATAAAACCCCCCTGCTGTATCCAAAGTGCACAAAGGAGTGTTACCACAGATCCTTCCTCCAGCAGCTCAGACTCTATAATCATTGCTCCTCAACAAATTCAGTGAGTGTTTACATTTCTGCTGTGATTGACACAGCTCTGTTGCTTGCACAGTTTTATCTTCACTTACTGTAAATAGTCTTAGTTACGAACACATTTTTAATTATCTTACACACCTTGCAGTTTTTTTTGACTCCGATTAGTCTATTTTTGATAACTGCATAGTACTTTAGGTTGTAATTTTGCTATTACTGTACAGTATTTAATTCTTTAATTAGCTTATATATAGATATATATTAATACCTTTGTGTGAATCTCCACTGTGGGACAATAAAAGGATATTTTTATTTCTTTTCAATTGAAAAGTCTTCTGGGATCAAATGGAGAAAATAAATAATAGAAAAGAAACCCCGTCTAATCTCACCAATAAAAACAGGATTAGGGTCACCCTTTTTTAAAATGCTTGTTGAATTTAGCAAAGTTTATTAAACTTATTAGAAGCAGGCATGGGTGTACTCAGGTCTGTTTTAGAGTAAGTCACTGGAAAGTGTGGTTATTAAAATACTTTGTGTTCAATGTAATATTTTCCATTGTAACATAGGTTTTCCAGTAATTAAAACAAAATAACATTTGTCTATCATTCTAACTGTTCCACATCCATTCTATGCATTTTATCCAAATCTGATCTGACATACCAAGACAAAGTAGAGCTTGATTTTAAAGTGGGAGGAAAACTATCCATGGTTTTCAACATTTCTAACAATTAAAAATAAGAAAACTGTGGTGTGAATTTATTTTCAGTCTCCTAAATCAAATTTTGTAGAAGCAACTTTGGCTGCAGCTTTGAACATTTGAAGACAGATCAATGATTCTCAGTTGGACATAGGTTTGGACTTTGACTAGACCATTGTAATGGATTAATATGCTTTGATCTAAAACAGTCTAGTCCATATTTGGCTGCAGGCTTGGATTTTGTCCAGGACTGTCTCACATTTATCCCCATCATGAACCCGCATTTATGTCCCTGTTGGGAAAAAAAAAAAACACACATCTCCACAGCATGATGCTGCCACGCTTGATTATACCAATAATCCAATGTTTTACGATTTACAGCATGATCCTGTTGGCCAAAAAGCTCTGAAGTGGACTAGAATATAACAGAAATATCAGAAAATCTTTCAATGATTATACCAGTTGAGATAAATTCACATTTTTCCGCCATCCTTTCTCCCACATTAGCGCTTCAAACGATCTCTGTGACTTCTGGGCACTGTCATCTGTGTCAGGTGTAGGCGACTCCATCCACCAGCCCAATTATTGCATTAGCATGCATGCAGTCGGATCATAATGCTTACAATTACACACTCCAAACAGTTCTTTAACATCTTAAAATTGCTCACACTTTAACTGAGATCTTGAAATATTTTGGATAAGTTCAATCTTCCACATGGCTTTTGGCAAACAGCTAACTTGTCAATTTATTTGATATTAGGATATTATTTTCAAACCTAACCCTGCTATAAACTTCTCCAGAACTTTCTCTCTGACCTGTCTGCTGAGGGGTTTTTTCTCTAATGTTCTCCAAAAAACCTCAAAAGTGTTAAATTACACTCTGGTGGATTTTATTTTCTAATTGGTCATTTCTAGTTGGATTCCTTTACACTTAATTTAGAGGGATCCGATTAAAGAGAAGTAAATAAATACACTACTTTGTGTTGGTTTATTACATATAATTCTCAAAAAATATATGAAGGTTGTTGGTTCTAACGTGACAAAGTCCAGGGATGTGAATATATTTTCACATTAGGTGGGATATCCAGGAAACCCGTTTGATTTGTTACTTAAATGTTAATGATAAATGTTGGTTATAGCCCTGATATGATCATAAATCTAGAAGAAGGAAGTGAAAAGTAAACACTTTATGATGCATAGCAACTGATAACAGCTTAAAGTCACAAAAAAAACAAGTTTTTATGTCAATATTAGAGCGTTTTTGAACCTAGAGACAGTTTGTACCTTATCCATGAGCTTCCAGCATTTCTCCACCATTTTCTTATCGACCACAGCGGGCTGGTGAGGCTGCAGAGGCTGTTGGTGGGGCTGAAAGGCGTCCTTCATCAGCCCGATGAGTCCGGCGCCCCTCCTCGGATTTCCGGCCATGAATTCGCTCGATGACCGGGGGTGTTAGCCCCGCAGCAGGGGTTCACAACCTGGGAGGGTGGTGGTGGTGGTGATGAGGAAGGGGGTGGTCTCCCTGACACGTTTCCCAATAAAGCAGCCGCTGTACTACCGCCCTGTCCGCTCTGAACAGTGGGGACGGTTTGTCATGCAGAGGCTGTCCGGGAGCAGAACAAAAAGCCTGTTGTAGCTACAACTCAGCGGACCCAAAGCAGCGAGCTAACGGCTACGGCAGCTTAACGAGAAGTCTCCACTCGGGGTCCGAACCGCAGACATAACCTCCGTGTTGCTGTTTATGCCGACCGAAAGAGAGCTGACTCCTCCTGGCGACGGCGAGTGAAACCTCCCTGAGAGACGAACCCGGCTTGTAGCAGAGCAGGGTGTTAAAAACCACACGGAGCCACCAACGAACAGCCTGAGCAAGAGCTAAAGTAAACACGGATGTCCGGCCCGATTTTCAAAATAAGAGCACGGTCAACAAGCGTGTAATACTATTTACAAACTAATTACAGGGTGCATTAAACGTTAATATAAATATTTAAATATAAATATTCAAAAAAGTTATTAGTAAATTAATAAAAATGTTTGCTAAATATTTTTGATCAACAGGCTACTCTATTTAACTGCTACATGTAGCAGTTAAAGCAAGTTTCTAGCAGAGAACATCGGTCTGGCCTTTTTAAACTGTTACACAGCTGTCAAAACAGATGACAAGGTCGTAAACAGAAAACAAACTTTGAAGGATTATCTGTGGGCCGAGTGAGCATTTGAATGTATTAGAAATAACATATTCCTGTGGAAAACTTGTGTTTAACAATAGGTGTTCTTACTGCAGATCTACTGTCGCCTATCTGCTAAAAACCTGATCCAGGCAAGGAAACTTCTGTTTACTTTGGACTCTCTGAAGACTGAAAATCAAATTTATAAAAAATATAATTGGTTGACTTGTCGGTCATCTTTTCATTAAATTAATTTATTATAAAGTAATTTATTTAATGTACATATTTTATATTTAAATTCCTTGTATGAAAAAGTTAATAAAATATTTAAATTACAAATACACATTTTTATATTTCACTGTGTTATATATCACAATTTATTATGGTATATAGTAAATGTTAAGTAAAATAGATGTTCTTTTATTCTAAGCAACAATTTATTATTAAAAATATCACGTAAAATTCTTGATCACATTATGAATACATAGAAAAAACAAACAAAATATATCACATTACATAATACAAGATCAACGTTTACAAATAAAGTTTGATACTCATCTGATAAAAGTTAATTTATTCTGGTATATAAAAATCTAATGTAAACTATATAATGGTTTATCCTTTTGATGTCTTACAGAAATTAATACAATCACTTCGTTCTCCACTATGAAGATTAAACGTGCACTCTGTCGCCATCTGGTGGAAGTTGTAGAAATAAAACAATTTGTAGCAATTTGATGGACAGTTTTTCTCCATCACCGTCATCATAAACAAACTGAAAGAAAATACTTTATTTTAAGAACACAGGCGCTAAGATTTGGATAAACTGTTGTGAAAGTTTGAATTAAAAAAAACATATAAAACATTGCTTCACAACAGTCTTTGGAATATCAGAGCTGTTTTGCCTTGTTTTGCTAAATGGCTGAGCAAAAGACTACAAGCATTCACTTCAGTCAAGGACACTAAAGACGTGTTGAGTTTTCTCTTTATCGGTTTGATGGGTTTATACAGGAGTTCCTCTGAACGTCAAAGCGATATCAAGCAGTTTGGCTCCCAGCTCCGCCTGCCGCCCTGCAGGCAGGAACTCTGCAGACAGCTCTCTGTAGGTGCTGCAGACTCTGCGCTCCTGAATGTCTTCTCTGTGAATGGCGTGTTTCCATCTGTGCCTCGCCTCCCCGTACAGTGCCACCAAACACCTCCTGGGAAGCCGTACGGCCACGTGGATCCCCCCCACCAGCCCGCGCTCTGGCAGGCCCTCCTCCAGAGACATGGTGAGCACAGTCTCTGAGAGCATGTTGACCGTGACAAGCCTTTCACCCCACAGCCACGAGTCGTCTAGGTGCGAATCGATGGCGGAGCCTCGCTGAGGGTGGTAGTCCAGGTTACACTGCTCCACCGGTTGGAAGCCCTGCAGGTTTGGCTCCTGTTGCATCCGCAGCACCAGTTTCTGGCTCAAACCAGGGAGTCCATTGAAGTTAGCTAGACGCACTTTCTTTTTCTTGAAGTTCACCTTTGGACCATAGTCCTGCAATCATACAACAGTTTGATTGGCTTCATTGACAAATCAACAGTGGTTCATAGATTTGGGGCTAGAAAATGTGGAGTATAACCTGTTTCCTTCGACCAGACTGTGATGGATTCCAAACATCCTGATCCATGGAGCCAATCAGCTCCTTCTCCTCTTCCTCAGATATGAAGTTCTCCCACAGGAAGACACCGGGAAAAGGAAAAGATGCACCTTCTCCATCTCCATCTTTGCAGACAGCGAGTTTTGTTTCAGCATCATAGAGAAAATGGTGCACAGTCTTCTTCCCAAAAAACAAAACAATAAAGTTAAAGCTGTTGTTTTTCCTCCTTTACCAAAGGAAGACTTTAAAATCTTTTTTATTTTTTGGTTTTAAATTAATTCAGTATAGTTACATGAACATTTCTGCCAGTGAGTGCAAAAGTTACAATGCACACATCCCCGTTCACTATTAACTACACATTTATTACTAAAACTATGGTGTAATAGATGTAATAGCAGCGTTTGAAAAGTGAATATTATTTTGTAACAAATAAAAATTCCAAAGACATAGTTAAAACCTTGAACTTTTCTACTAGACTTGTCACAATAACACATTTTGCTACATAATAAATTACCACAGAAGAATAAACGATAATGTTGTTTGGGACCATTTTCAAATAATAATATAATGGTAATGGAATAATAATGTAAGTTCGCTCTCTCAAAGATCAATATACTTTCATTTCTAACGAACATTTAACATTGGAACCTGAAGACATTTTAAATATCCAAAACAAATAAACAAAACAACAGAAACGACAAATAAAATGAGTTAGGAAGTCTCTGAACAAAACTGTCCTTCAGAAAGCGCCACATTGAAGACTTTTGTCAGTCTGGTAGAAAGAGAGAGCAATTCATCAATCATGCAAATGGGAATTGCCGAGTTTGTTTTAATTTATCATGGGATTAATTGATTGAATTAAATCTATTAAATCTATCTCTCTAAAGAGAGAGCAACTCATCAATCATGCAAATGGAAAATCCCGAGTTTGTTTTAATTCACCATGGGATTAATTGATTGAATTAAATCTATCAGCAACATTCTGTTTGTATTCAGAAAGTGAGACATGCGGGACATTAGTAACATAAAACAGAGACAATGCACACGTTTTAGCACAGTAAACATTTTGATTAAAGACGCAATGTCCTGAGAAGGCTTCCGTAACTTGTTGTCAATATTGTTTATTTATTAGAATAAGCTAAATTATGGTTGATATTTTGTACCTCTGGTTCCCTTGTCTCCGTCTGAGTTTTCCCTTTGAACTTTTCACATATGAGACATCGTCGGATGCCTTTACAGCCGCATGAAGAAACACCATCATTGTTGATATCAGGCGCCATCATTGTGCTAGTGCTTCTTCTTCTTCGTTTATTAGGAACTCACGAGCCACAGCGAAACAGAAGGCGCGCCCCCTATTGAATGTAAAATATTTTAAGAGCTAAATTAAATTAAATTAAATTAAATTAAATTAAATTACCCTCCCCCAGAAATTTAGAAGCATAATTAAAACAAAAACAAAAATTCTAGGACTTTAAGAGATTAAGAAATTTAAGATATAAATAAATATAATTAATTCTCATGTTCAAGGTTTTGACTTAAATCAATTTTACATTAAGAGTTCAGAGAAAGGGGGCAACTAAAAAGGGAAAAGTATTTTTAAAAATTAAGAGTGACAGGACACACATTTTATTTAATGAACATGGAATTATGAAATTAATTAATCTAATTAATAATTAACAGGAAATCAATCATTGGTAGAATTTTGGATCCCTTGATATTTTGCTATACTAAGTACTTTGAACGAGAAAACTTTGAAAAATTGGGGGTAAATATGAATAACAAATACGATTTTTTTTCTTATTTTTTTACAACAAGAAACAGAAATAAAACATATTATATTGTATTTATCTAGGTCACACATTTACTGAAATGTAATTTGTCGTGAATGCTTCACATTCCTTGCAGTCAAGATAGAGGGGAAAAAAACATCCCGGGCGTTCTTCGTTCAAGCCACGCCCACCGGATGTAGACGCAGTTTCCCCGGGAAGCTCAGTTCCCGTAGTGGTGCGGAGTGAAACAGAACTTGGGTGAGTTGTTGTAAGTAAATTAATCTATAAATCTTTGGAAGTTATTAAGACATTTGTTATCCTGGAATTTATTTATAAAAGACAGCAGCATGAAGCATAACTACATGTTTTTTTTTGTCGTTATTAAGGTTAAATTAGAAAAGAAACTTAGCAGTTTGCGTTTCCAACGCGGTTAAATTTGGTATTTGTAAAATACTTACCAACCAGGCTTTTAAGTTTAGCCACTGTACTTTTCTGCTCTTATCTGTATTTATCTCAAAGGTAGCGCAATGTTGATGAAAGTGTATTATTACTATTTAATACTGGAATCTTCAGTGAAACATCAAAGCTCTATTGTTGTTATATATATATATATATATATATATATATATATATATATATATATGCATGGTCTCTTTAACCGTAGACTAAACTATTTATACAAATATAAATCTAGAAGCAGGTGCTATGTAAAGCCTGTTCTTTAAATCTGACTGTCTTCATTTCTAAAATCTAACTGTTCCTGCAGATTAACGATGGAGAAAATTACAGAGAAGCTTCTGCTGGAGAAAGGGTCTCCAAAAACCAACAAGTTGGAACAGATCAAAACTCTGAAGTGAGTAACATTTTCAATTTTTCCATGTTCTTATATTAATTTACCACTGTGTCCTCACTTTATCCAGATGTTTAGATACAAAGTGAAGCTGCACTCAAAGAATCTCAATGTTATTCATTGACTTGCAAACCTACCTTCTGAGTGCAGCAGAGTTTGAAACATGGGAACACTATTGTTGTATTGTAAATGAGGATGAAACAATCATGGAGGAACAGAGTAAATTAAAGAGCAACTTGCTGATTCTCTACAACTTTATTCCCTCATTTTAGCAGCTTTAATGTTCCTTCAAAACTGTAGCTGTGGAGCATCTTCCCTTTCTATCAGAGACTTCAGTGTATGAATAAACTGCTACATGTGGGGTACCCCAAGGCTTTGTTTTGGGTCCACTTCTTTTATTGAAAGATGTATACACACTTGAAAAACTAACTGGCCTCTACTAAACTCTAAGCGTTGTTTGCATGTACATGTTGAAGAATGTAACTTTAACCAAGTAAAGCAAAAGGGACTTATGCAAGATTGTAGAGTCTATATCTCTGTGGAAACACCAATTTAATCGTATCATTTATTTTTTTTTTCAGTCTGTCTAAGATGGCGCTGAAGCTTGAGGACCTTCCTGTGAAGCTGTTGTCATGCCTGAAGTCGTTGGAGCGTTGGGATCTGTCTGGAAACAGGCTGCAGGAGTTCCCTAGGCGTTTGGAGCTGCCTGCGCTCCGGTACCTGGACCTGAGCGATAACCAGATGGAGGACGTCACCACCCTGGAGTCCCTCAGGGCTCTGGAAGAGCTCAAGATGGATGACAACCTTTATATCACTGTAAGCTTTCTGTCACGTTCAAAGGATTTTCTTTGGTTCTGTAATGTAACTGAAAGGCACATTTAATAAAATACTAGTTACTTCTTTGATGTATTGTTTTTTTACACTGACAGAGCAAGTGTACGCAGAATTAACTTTTAGCTTCTTGCAGATGTTTTCCATTCAGCTCAGTAGTTGCACATCTGGAAGATCAGCGGGTGAGAAGGGGTGTAAATGCAGCTGCTTAACTTTCAGATGGCTCACTGTTTTTACTGATGAGACTTGATTCTTCATCACTTTATCAACCAAAACTCATTTCATAAAAGTTACAAATTATTTAGCACGTCATTGAGAATATTTAGTACTTTATACCCCAGCAAAACATTACTTGAAACTAAGAGAAATATATGGACCGAAATTGAGGCCATAAAATGTGATAAAATGTTTGAAACTGGAAAAAAAGATTTTAAACTGAAATTTAAAAGAAAACCTTGAATCTTAAAAATAGTTTCTAAAATGTTTCTGAGTTTAAATTTCTGTTTTCAGGTCAAACATTATTTTTAAGTTTAAGATTTTTTTATTTTTTATTTTTTTAAATTTATTTTCAGTTTCAAAATGTATTCAAAAAACTTTGTTGGTCAGCAGATTTGCCCAGATCTTAGGAAGGATTTTGACCCAGAAACCTTCTAAATCCTTTTATGTTTCTGGGCAGCTCAAAATTTTGTGTGGAGACTGACTGGGCCTCTCCATGAGCATAATTCACTTCCTTAATATATACGCTCAATATGTAATGATAACGGGATGAAAATAAACATTGGTTGTTAATATCATGTTGAAATGGCCGATACTGATATTCATGCAGACACGTTGTGCATCCCTAATTTAGATTTTAATTAACGTTTACGCTGCTGAAGGAAACTACAAATAAACAGTTAGAAATTTGATTTTAAAGGAATAAAATGTGACCTTGTTGTGTGTAAAGTTGGTTAGCTTTGTTTTAATTTTGCTTGCTCTTGTGTTTTAGGTGAGTGATAATTACAAGCTGTTTGTGTTGCTGCCCAATCTGCGGATTTACAACAGCAAGGATGTCACTGCTACTGCCAACCATTTGAGATACGTTTACAGCGACAACCTGAGGACCAGGGTATGAAAATGATGTATTAATGTAGGGAAATATTCATTGGCATAAATGAAACATATTTTTTTCTGTTTTTAAATAATGATGATTTTATTTATTAGACAGAGAAATCTACCACAACCAATCTTATTGTTGCAATTGTCAAGAAGTAATGACATGTTTATGAAACAATAATCATTTGTTTTTGTCAATTTAGTGGTTTTCTAACTGGACATCCACAAGAGCAAAAATCAAACCTGTCATTTTTAAAAACTCACAATGGTGACTGATCAAATTCTAAGCTGTATTTTATTTTTCAAAAACTTTATTCCTAATAATGAACAACAACAAGACACAAAAGTGTTTACATAACAACAGAAAATTAGCCTGGGGAAGCATGAATAATTCAAATAATAATGAGAAGGAAATGACAGAGTCACAAAAAGAAAACAATAATTGTACATAATGGGACATATGTGTCAAGTAGCTTCATGTAAGATAGTCTTAGACAACAGATTGTCCTTAAGCCTAATTTGGGAACAAACACATATATTGTTAAAACTCAAAAGCACCAGAGAAATTGGTGTAATTGCAAAATGAATAATCTCTGCCGATGTCATCTTAAACAGCTGTGATTGGTGCAGAGAAAAAGTTTATTTGCATGAAAACAAAGATCTAAAAAAGAGCAGAAGTTTTTCAAAGATATGAAATCATGCTTTATAATTGTAAATGAAAGCTCTTAACTTTTGGCAGTAAAATTCCTCCATAAACAAACCAAACTATGTGGCGATGAGTAGAAGTGAACTGTTGCTAAGGGAGAAAAGCTAACAACTGGCCTACAGCAGTAATCATTGGGCCCATGTGCATCTGCAGTCTGGTTCCTTTTGCACTACGTGCTGCTTTTAACTCTTTTTAGATGATTGCTGTTTGGGAGAGGAGCTTCAGTCTCCCGGATCCCGTCTCTGCTGAGAAACTGTCTTCCCTCGAAAAGAACTTTGTGAGCGCCGCTCGTCAGCAAGTTAAATTTGGCCCCACTTCTGTGGCTGATTTCACCAAATGGAGGGTAAGTTCTGAACGGTTTACACTTTCTGCAGCCATGACGGTCATTTTACCGCATGTTGTGATCTCCAGGTGGAGATTCTGGCTAAGGAGTATCTACGCTCTCTGGCGGAACCAAAGGAGGACTCGGACGATGAAGCTCACACTGAGAATAACAACGACACCGTAAGAACTGCATTAATGCTCGTTCTTTATCAGATCTAGCTGCTTTAATGCTGCATTTCAAACTTCATACTGGATTTGTTTACCTCAGGATGTATCTGAGGTAACAGACGGACCTGATAAGGAAACAAGTCCTAAGAGGAAACAGACGGATACAGCAGCAGACGCCTCCATCAGCCTGACACCCCGCAAAAAGCTGCGTGCCGACCTCCCTGAATCACCCGCTGAAAGCAGTCCTCGCAAATTCAGCCTCCGCCTCAAACCACTGGCAGGTACCCAGAGCAGGATGAGTCCCCTGAAGCCGAACCGGGGTCCCTCAACCCCCAGCAAGACAGAGACGAAGGCAGAGACGCCCAGGAGGAGCGCCAAGGTCCAACAGGTCAAAGAGGTGGAGAAGAAAGAAAACCTGAGCAGAAAGGAAGCAAAGGCTGCACAGCTGCACAGAAACGCTCATGTGCTGCCCATCATAAAGGCTTGCAGCAAAACAAAGGTAATGTAAGAACAGAGACACTCCACTCTCTGTTTTTTTTTGTTGAACTACAACATAATAAACTACAGATTTTTCCATA